GGACACAACATCTTTGTTTGTATGTGGTGCTGAGGATCAAACCCGGGCGGCATGCATGCCAGGTGAGCATGCTACCACTTGAGCCACATCCCCAGCCCTCATTATTATTTTTAATAGTCAATTTTTTAAATAATCAAGTGGGTTCTTCCCCAAGCTGGTTCTCATGGTTTTTGACATATCTCTTTCAACATTTGAGTAGTTTCTTTCATTCTAACTCAATATGATACTCCTAGCTAATCTTACACTTTCCCTCTCCAGACCTGAAATCAGCCATTTCTCTAAGGACTCATGGTTCTTTCCAGTGAAGAAAACATTTAGGGACCAAGACCTGGAAACTAGATGTTCTTATTGTTCCTGGGATGTCACTGCTTCTAGGACATTTCATTGGGCAAAGCTTTGAATTCCTGAGTTCACACTGATAACTGTAATTCTAATCTAAAGAGGTTCTTCTTTGCCCTTTCCATATTTGTCTTTTCCTGTTCCTTTTGAAACTTGATTCCATGTATATTTTTTACCAGTTTACCAATATATTTACTCATTTGCTCAGTTTTATAGTTCACACAAAATGATTTCATAATTACTACTGAATACTACAACAACAAAGCTACTAAGTAAAGTTGTTGATGTCTATGTAGTTCTTTGTGTCTTTATAAATCTTAGGGAGGATTACAGTTATAATAATATGTTCAAGTGTTACTTGGATTAATTCTGTGTGTTTTGTGATTTGGTTATGAATATGATTAGTAATTAACTATATATTTGCCCTAATATTCAATTTTAGCTTTCTTTACTCTTGCTAATTAAATGTTACCTTTTTGAGTATGTAAAATAGTATGGTTTATAAAGCAAAATTATATACAAACATGATACTCTGAAAAGTCTCTCTGTCTTCTCTACTACTCTTACTCCATCACCTGCTGTAGATGTTAATTTAATTCATTTCTAGTTTATCTTTCCTGTGTCTCCTTTAGCAAAAATAAGAACACATATAGACACACACATACTTTTCGTTTTCGCTTACACAAAATGTAACATATATTATTTCATAGTCTTTTACAACTTGTTTTTTTCACTTAATATTCTGAAAATTACCCAATGTTAACGAATTGATATTTTCCTTATTCTTCATGGTTTATGTGTAGCAGATGTTATTTAAATATTCTGCCAAAATGCAGACAATTAGGTAGTTTCCAATATGTTGTGATTGTAAATAATGCCACCATGAGTAAAATGTGCATATGACTTTCTCTTCCAAATTAGTCAAGAATTGCCTGGAGGTAGGATTGGTAATTTAAAGGGTAAATGCATATTTAAAATTTTGTTAGACATTGATGACTTTTCCACCCTAGAGTTTGTACTGTTTTGCATTCCCATTGGCAATGCACGAGGGCAAAATATTTATCCACAAATTCCAACAAGCATACTACAAAGTTTTTGAATTTTTGCCAAACTGAGATGTGAAAAATGGTATTCAGTAGAGTTCTGATTTACATTTCATTTGTTATAAGTGGAGTTTAGCAATTCTTTTTTTTTATATTTAACGCTATCTGGGATATCATTTTAAGAATTGTTTGTTCATGCCTTTTGTACTGTTTCTCTTTTTATTTTTTTGTGTTTTTTCTCACTTTTATATTGTGAGACCAGCCCTTTATCTGTGATCTCATTTTTTAATTGTCCAAGAAAATAAAATTTAAAAAGTATTAGGAGTTGATTAAATTTATTAGGCTAATACTCAGCAACTTATACTGATCCTAGGGTACTGTGACTTGAGTCTTGCATGACTTAAATAAGAGGAAGTAAGTTCAAGTAGACTTACTAACATAACTTTCAATTAAGTCTTCAGTTGCTTGTCTGAAACTCCTAGGGACGTGTGTTTCTCACAGTTGAGACCTTTTTGAATTTTAGAAAGGTAATAGGTGCACATGCTATGTAATATAATGTAATGACATCCATCAGCCCTGGAACAGTACCACATAATCAAATACATAAATATTTCTGGAGCAGAACTTGTGAATATGCCTGATGGGATAAATAAAACCATTAAGTACCTTTATAACAGCTCAGGTCAGATTTTATGGTCATATTAGTTTCAATAGTATCAGATTCTGCCACTAAATGCTTTAAGACTACACTTTTTAGTTTTCAGAGTCCCCCACCCCCCTGCCCCGCCGATTTTGGAATTGTGAATAACAGACTATCAATCTGTAATTCATTAAATCTGGGTATTATTCAATAAAGCTTTAAGATAATCATTAAAAAAATTCAAGGAAAATTTCCATTAAAAATCATAAGAACAAACTGCTTATACTAGATCAACTATACTGAGTAACTACCTTAAACTTTATCAACTCTACCTAATTGGTATGAATAGGAATTAGGTTGAGTGGTTGCTTAGAATTCTGAAATTGCATGAAATAATTTATTTTTTCCTTTTGGGAAATAATTAATGTGAATTTTTAAAAGATACATAAGTAGCTCTTTTTATCTCAAATTGCATATTTATTTCGTTACTTGTATATGATTATTGTCCCTTTAGAACCATTTAATTTGCTACTATACCCTTGGTGTGTGACACAATGTCTGATTAGCTGTAGGTGCTTCATAATTATTTTTGAATGAACCAATAAATGAGAAAAGAGTATAAAAAGAAGATACAGCAAAGTAAAGAAATACAATTTTTACCCATCTTCAGTAAAAGTATAGGTTTAAAACAATAATTCAGAGTGATGATAATTTACCTCTTCCTCTATCCCAACTTAAGTTTATCTAGAAATCAATTCCCATGTATCTGGAGTGAATGACTACTCATGCAAACAGAAGAATCAGTTTTACTTGAAAAGGTGAAAATTAGTTACCTCAAGATGCCATTACTTTATGTCCTCTTCATTCCCCAATTATCAGCCTAAATATGATCCTAAAAGTGAGTCATGTGAGAAAAATTAAAATATGCAATTCCCATCTATATTGATTCTATCTTCAATTTGCTGAACTACCTTTGTCTAATAATACACTTTTTCCTTTCTTAAATATAGGCTTTATTATTCAGATAATAAAATAATAACTGTCCATGATAGACCTTTTAGAAAAATGCTAGATCATTTGAGAAGTAAGGAAAAATAGGAAGAAAAAAATAATCCCCAGATTTACCCCTCAAAGGTAATTCATAGTGTTATATTTTCTTCTAGTCATTCTTCTAAGGTATATTTTAAAATATACCAGATAGACAGTTTAAATACTTTCTAAACCTTCTATGATAAAGATGTTCTGTGTTTTTATAGAATTTTAATTAACATTTATTTAAGAGGCATAATATTCCATAACAGACATCAACATTTTCTGAACTTTTACCCTATCATTAGATATTTCAATTGTTTGTGATGTTCAGATACGACACTAATTGTAAATATTTTTTTCTGTATTTGACAATTTTTGATTAGGATAGTCTCTCAGGTGTTGGTCAAATAGAATTGAAAACATACAGGCAAGGTAGACATTCTTAACTTTTAAGCCTTCTAACAAATCTAGATATCTACAAGATATCTAGCCAATGATACCATTTTAAATCCACACAAGAACTTCATGACATGAACCTTGAAATATCCAAAAGTAACTCCGTCACTCACTTGCAGTATATGGCTTTTGTTCTGAACCACTAATTGCACTCTGACTTTGAAATTGAGGCTGTTTTTGTCAAAGCAATTAATTCACAAATTGCCAGAGATGTCTTCATCGTTTTCTTTGGGTTATGTTCAATTTACCTCTTAACTCACTGATACGGCTATTGCATTATGTCTTAAAACAGCTATATTTCTCTTCTTGCTGCCTTAATCCTAGAATCCTATTAGAATTCCTTTGGGGGGCGGGGGCGGGTTCTGAAAACCCAGCAGCGTCATGGCTTACTGTTGCACATTTGCCATCTAGTGGCTAAAGTTGGAAATTGCAGACTCACACCCTCTCTCCAATTGGTGGAGGACATTTGGAGCCTTTTTTTTCCAACGGTGGAAGGTAAAAACTGTCAGTAATACTCAGTAGGAATGGGTAAATTTGCTTCACAGAATGTATCCATGTTCATTTAGGAGAAGAATCTGCCCAAATGGGAGGTAGAGCTCAGAGAAAACTATACAAAGCTTTTCTCCAACCATTTTACTCTATCATCCCTATCTCCCAAACACACACTGCTCTCTATCAATTAGATTCAAAGGAAAATTAAGGTCAACATTGGAATGCAAAACAAATCATCAAGGGCACCAAGGTGTTATATGTGGAAGGAGGGAAGCTGTCTTAGTCTGTGTTGCTATAACAGAAAACCTGAGAGAAGGTAGGCTACAAACAAAGAGCAGAAATAAATTTTCTCACAGTTCTGGAGGCTGAGAAGTCTAAGATTAAGGTACCAGCAGGCTTGGTTGTCTGGTGAAGTTGGCTTTCTCCTTCCAAGATGGCATCTTGTTGCTGCACCCTTGAAGGGAAGGAGTGTTGTGTCCTCATGTGGCAGAAGGTAGCAGGGCAAGTTAATCAAATGCTGAATGAAGCCTCGTTTATAATGGCTTTAATCTCATTCTCCAGGGATGGACCCTCACGGCCTAATTTACTTCTTCAAAGCCCCACCTTTTAATATTATTACACTGGCAATGCCTGAATTTTGGAAGAGACATATTCAAATCATAGCAGGATGTTACGTCAGTTACTTTACAGTAGACATGTTTATTGGATGATTGTTTTAATATGAATCGCAGATGTTTTATTTACCCTTTCATAAAGTTTCTTCTTTTTTCCCTCCTGAAAGTCTGAATTCACTTTTTACAAATTACAAAAGCACAGTTGCCCATATTTACTGTTCCTTAGAATTAGATAAATTTGATAACTTTCCATCTGCTATCTTTTTGAAACAAATTATCCCAACCTACTCGAATGATACATAATTTTGGAAAATGTGAACCATGAAAATTACACAAGAAATTTTCTCTAAATACATACAATGGACGTGCTCAGATTTTTGGAGGTTAGGAAATATAGGGATGGAGTATACGGTGGCAGATGAACATTGTTACAAAAGTAAATTATGAAAAATGTTACGAGCTAAACTGATGTTCAAATTCATCAGAAATTTTATTTTGCCTTCAGACTTGCAGACCTAAGGGAGAATGAAGAGTATATGAAAAAGTGAGTGAAGCTAGGAGTAATGAAATACTTTCAATAACTGCACATTTATATATATAAAAATTTGGTACTGGGGATTGAACTCATGGGCACTTGACCACTGAGCCACATCCCCAGCCCTATTTTGTATTTAGAGAGACAGGGTCTCACTGAGTTGCTCAGCACCTTGCTGTTGCTGAGGATGGCTTTGAACTCGCAATCCTCCTGCCTCAGCCTCCCAAACCACTGGGGTTACAGGCGTGCACAACCACACCCAGCCTATCAACCAATATTGAGCTTGAACAATTTCTAGGTAGTCAGTTGCACATCCATTTACAAAATTAAAAGAAAACATACCATAAAATGAGATAAATGCAGAAGTCCTTCTACTCTACGTCAAAAATTGTTATATATATTCCCAAATCATTTATCACTAGTCCTTTGGTTATAAAGCTACTGAATGTACTTCAAAATAAAAACTTGAAATATATATGCCTTGACCCAACAAATCCATTGCTTAGAATGTACTCTTTTTTAAGAAAAATACATATTATTTAGTTGTAGATGAACCTTTATTTATTTATTATTTATATGTGGTGCTAATATCAAACCCAGTGCCCCACACATGCTAGGCAAGTACTCTGCCACTGAGCCACAACCTGAGCCCAGAATCTACCCTTTGATTATATTGACCCAGTATGACAAGATATAATTCTCTTATATTTTGCAATATTATTTAAAATAGTGAAAGACTGTATGTAATCCATCCATATTGGTCAGGTTAAGCTAACTGAAAGGAAATGAAATTAAAATCAGTCACTACAATGGAATAGTATGCATCCTTTAAAAAGGATGAATCTGAGTTTTGTGTGCTGGCATAGAAAGTGGGTCATTATAATAAATGAAAAGCAAAGCAATAATACAATATCAATTTTATCCACATGAAGTATGTACACACATACAAGTATAAGTGTATGGTGTCAGACATTTGTTAAGATAATTTCCTATTGCTGGAGGTTGTAAAAAAAAAATGCAAGAAGTACAGCCAAAGCAAAGACTTATTGAGCAAGATTATGAAATTCTTAAAGATCTTCAAAGCCTGTTTTAACAAAGCTTGATCCTTGGTCGTTCTTCCATTTGAATTATGCTAAAAACAAGGAGGATTTCATCCTGTTTAACTTGTGGTGGGAGTCACCCTAAAAGTGGTGGCAGGGGATTTCCCATAAAGGAGTGTCCCCATATTTCCCTAGATGAGGTCAGTTGGGAAGCTCTAAATGCCAGAGTGATAGTCTAAAGCACTTATTAGGGGAACTTACAGAATGCTGCAGCTTGTCTTCTTGACAACTAGAAAAAAACATGTTCTACCTAGGTGCAGTTTGCCAACAGTGACCTAGTGGATGGAGTTTACATGAAGGTTTTGGGAATTTGGGATCAGGGCTGAGGCCAGATTCTTTCATTGTTTTGGGAATGGGAATGTTTGGGGCCCTAGCTGGGACTCAGGCTTGCTTGGAAAAACCTGCAGTTAGCTAGGTCATACAGCAGGTAAGAAACTCTATTTTTAGTTAGAACACAGAAAGAAAGTTAGGGGGAACTGGAAGACCCTACAATGAGTAAGCGGAAATATCAACTATTTAACCTGCTTTTTACGAATGAACAAAATTACAAGTTAACCACATCTAAAAGCATAGCAGCTTTTTGAGGGGATGATCTAGGGCCCAGGATCTGCTTTTACTATTCAAAATGAGACCAAAGTCCAAGGACAGAATTTATATCCAGCATCCTCTTATACTTTGGAGCTTCCTCTTCACTTACCTTGAGTGTCTGATTCCATTATGTTGTTCAACTCACTACAATTCATATTCATTGAAGGAAATTGAGTGCATAACACTTACTGATTGCTTACTTAATTACATGCTTTTTACCAAGCACTCATTAATCTCCACAGCTATCCTCTGAGATAGGTACTAGCAAAATTCCCACTTTACAAAAGAGAAAACACACTTTGGTGCCCTACCCCCTGATGACCACTCCAAGAAGTGGTCATTATAATAAATGAAAAGCAAGGCAATTAATACAATATCAATTGTATTATTACAATTATTCCCATCTGTACCAAATTCCCACTGATAAAGTTATCTATGACCTGGATTCTCTTGTCCTCTTTCCTACTTCTATTCAAATGTTTTGGTTCTGTTCATTATCTCAGGAGCAGGTTCATTTTTCAACAGTAATATATTAATCTGCATAAAAGTATCTATGCTTGATTGGAAGTTAACATGTCATCTTTATTTGATAATGCTTACTTATTTAACTGAGGTTTTCTGCAAACTAAGCATATATTTAGTTACTCATTAATTAACCAATTTGCATGATGGACACTAGACATATGTTGGAGCTTAAAGTTTTGTGGAGCATATAGACAAATCCAATTAGATGCATGCAACTTTAAATTATCATAAATGTGATGAAGATAAAACAGGGAAATGAAAGAAGATATGAGTGGCTACGACAAAACTAGCTTGATGATGGTGGGTGAAGAAACTGGAAAGTTAGACAAGACCAAAAAAGTATATGCAATCTGGGAGAAGTAAACAGAAAATTAAGCAAATAAATAAATAATTAAGTATCATTCTGTTACGTGCCATAAATGAGGTGATTGCCATGGGATAATGTAAGGGAGACATCTGAAACATACTATGAAGCTCTGAAAGACTTGCCAGAAAATGTGAACTATGAAGGATGACCACAAAGCACTAATGAGAATAAGAGGAAGTAAAAGTGGTAAACAGAGTTGCAGGTGGAAGGAACAACAAAGCCCTAGAGGCAAGAGATAGCCCAGCATGTCTAAGGGACCTAGGATGGCTTTATTAAAATGCTGATGTCAAATGCTGGATCTCGCTAACAGGGGGGAGAAAGTTGGAGGCAATAAGTACTTGTAGGGCTGGGCTTGGTGGTGCACTCCTGTAATCCTTGTGATTTAGGAGGCTGTGGCAGAAGGATCGCAAGCTCAAAGCCAGCCTCAGCAACTTGGAGAGGCCCTAGGCAACTTAGTGCAGACCCTGTCTTGAAAAAAAAAAAGTGCATGTAGGGAAAAAGACTCCTGGGATAATTTAGGGGTAAAACAAGATAAATGAAAGCAGTGGGGATGATAGAAGAAACTATGTAGATAGCAAAAAGAAAGATGACTGCTTGGTTAACCATTGTGGGAGAAAAGTAAAAAAGACAAAGAATTCAGGTTTCCTATGGGGTGGATTAAAATGCTATTGATTGTGTTACAGAAAAGGAGGAACACAATGGTAAATAAGAGTTAAAGGACTTTAATTTGGAGCATACCAAGTGTTATGCATTTGCAGAGGGAACACTCAAGTGCTTGTCTCTATAAATGAGGAAAGACACATACAGTAGTGTTAAGCTTTGGGCATTATCAGTATACTGAAGGCATGAAAGTGGGTGAGATGGCTCAGAGAGGCTAGGCAGAGTGAACAGAGGACTTAGAAGAAATATTTCAAAATAATAGCATTTAAGAGGTGTAAAGGAAATGAGGAGTCCCAGAAGGAAAGAGATTAAGCAGCTGGAAGAGAAAAACTAGGAGAATGGGATGTCATTGAATCTAAAGGAGGCAATATAAGGAGGAGGTAATGATCAGCATTGATAAATACAGCACAGAATTAAATAAGATAAATACACAGGCATATGACAAAGAATTTCTAGGTGACCTTTGCATGAGCAATTTCATAAATGTGGCTGAAGCCAGGGGATACTTGGATTATGAATAAGTAGGAGGTAAAATATTAAAGACCTGGAGACTAGATAGCCCATTCATGGGATTTGATTGTATCAAATATGAGATACTTGGAGTGTGCGGAAGTGTTTTTTAAAATAGAAAGAGCCTAGAGAAGATATAAATGGTGATGAAAGGAATCATTAAAGAAGACGTTGAAGGTCAAGGAAGGTATATAATAAAGATAAGTTGTTGAAAGTGAAGGAGAGAATAGGAGACACACTATAGTTGGAAAGATTGTTTGATTCTAAAAATGGGAAGAGGAAAATACACAGATAATATTTTGGAACTAATAGCAGCCCCTTTATGAAATATATTTTTTCTATGTTCTCAGTGAGGAAGAATTCATATTTATCTAATCAAAGAGAAGGAAACAGATAGTGGAGTAGAAATTTGAGGAGAATGGAGGATACCCACTGTGTGAAGAATGTGTGACAGAGAGTTGATAAAGAAAGGAGATTTGTTTAGTACCATTATGGCTTAGTTTATGTTGCAGACTAAATCTGTATCCACAACAGATAGTAGTGTGACTTTTATCTCACGGCTAGCAATCAGAAAATAAGTCAGAGAATAGTCTGTTAGACCAAGGTATGGCAACAGTAAATGGTTATGCAAGTTGTTCATTGAACTACCTTAAAGAAAAACAATCACATTGTAGTCTAACTTTCATGACACTTGAACAACTTTCATATGCACACCTGGTAGTTTTATCAATACTGGCTTCTTGCCGGATGAATAGAGTGAAAAGGGGAGTCAAGAATATTGTAAAGATAATAGAGTGATAGTGCATAGAAACTAACCCAGATAGGGAAGGAATTAATGGCAGGAGAGAGAACATAACAGGCTAAAAGTGCTGCAAATAACTATAATTTGAAGAACAAGTGTAATAAACATTCCTACAATGTATCTGGTACATCTCAAGAGGGCAATTCCACTATTTCCCTCAAAGACCCTAATGCTATTCCTGACCCATATTCATTTGTGGAACTATAACACAAAATGTCAAGCTGTTTGAGATCTCTGAAGGAACTTTGCTAGACACCAAGTAAATTCACACTACCTGATGAAATGATATATTCAAAGTATAGCTTCTGAAGATATTAAAAAGCAAACAATCAAGCTTAAAGTACATCTTAGCTTCTGAGTTTTGGCATAGAATATCTACATAATTGGAGAAAAATGATCTTGATCCTTGTCTTTCTGTTTTTATTTTTCCTACTGAATGCTTAATTCACATATTTTCACAAGTATAATAATTTCATTTTGCTTTGCCAAATCTTTCATTCCTCAAAGACATGTCTCAGACAAAATTTGAACTCTGAGAGGTACATGTCAAATTTAATATCAAAAATAAACCCCCAAACTCTGAGTTGATACAAAAAAGTCAGGAAGACAAATATAAATTTATCACTCAAAATGTATGATTGCATTATCATTTACCAGCCAATATTGGGAGCAATTATAGTATTGATCTATTATGATTGATGAGATCATTTATGTTTTATAATTTATATTCTTAATGTTATGATGAAAGGTTTTAATAAATCTTAGAAATATGTCATTTAATATTATTTTAAAAAATGTACACCCTATGATGTTTTAAAAGTGTCTAAACCATCATTTTACTGTCTGTTCCATTTCTTCTATGTTTGTGCTACATGCAAATAGAATGTCGATCAAAGATTTCACAGTCTATTCCTTCAGATTGAATGATTCTAGAGAACATAAGATCAGATTCTGATGCTCCTATCTTTATACAAACTATATGAATGATGTCTGTGGATTTTCTTTCCCATTAATCCTAATTTAGAACCACAATAAAATACTAAATTGAAGAATAAACAATTTGGCATAAAATATTTATTTGAAGTCACAGAGACCAGAAAAGACAAATTGGGACTTCTGTAAAGGAGAAATTAATTAAATTGTGTTTTGCATGTGTGTATAGACCAAAGATAAACATTATTTTCATCCTCTTCATCTTTATCAGACTCTTGACAAAGGCAGACAAATAACATGGAAAATTATTTTTAAAAGGGTCAAATACTATTATTGAATTTGCTACTGAAGAGACAGTGAGAAACAGCAAATAAACAATTTTTGGTATAATGATTGAGATCAATCTTATTTGATAATAGTCCTCAATGGGCTTCACAATAATAGGAGTGTGTAAACAATGAAATTTCCTGCAACATAATAATATAATTATTCCCATCTGTACCAAATGAATCAAAATATCTGATTGGTGGTGATAATAAATAATTATTTTAACAATTTCAGAAGGTGAATTTTCGATATGCTATTCATCAATTTATGCATGTGGGGGGCAGAGATTAGCTTAGGATGGATTTGAAAGCAGGAAACCATAATCTTGAGTTTATCATTTTTGGGAGATTATATGGCATGGCTCTTCCTCTCTGTGACCCTGCATTTTATGACTCTATAAAATTTTTATTATGTATAATTAATGTTTCAAATTGAATAGTTTTCTAAAAGCAGCCTATTTTCCTTTTTAGTTTAGGATTGAGTGAGTAGACAGATAATTTTATCTAAATATTGCACTTAAATTGAAATTTCAAAGAAGCATGTGGATGTATAGGTCATTGTCTATGAAGAAAAATTGTTCACCATGTATGACAAAAACATTTCTTTCTTCCATGTAATCCTAGACTTTGTCTGCTTTGATTTAAATTGGCAGCCACAGAGAAATGTAACTGTGTTATCACCTTTAAGTGTACCTACACACACACCCCTTCCATTAACTTTCATCATCTCTGAGTTCAAACTTGAATTATGAGACTACATGACTACCATTCTTTTCATTTGGAAGCATAAACTAGTAGAAGGCAATTGTATTAGAAATTCTGGCAGAAATCCAAACTTATTAAACAAATTATTTGTTGCACATCTTTGGCTTATCTACATTTTTTTGTCCATATGTTTGTTTGGCATAGTGCCCACTCATTATAAAATTTGCCAGTTTTACGGGACACTAACTGTTCAGAAAAGAGAGATCCAGATGGGTTATCTTGATAATGGCATGAGTGTTG